AGTTCTTTAAGGGGGGTTCAAAATTTGATGTATGAGGAGGGTGATGTGGAGAATGAAATATCCCGCAGGCCCGTAGATGTACTCTAATGGGATCAGCGGCAAATTTTTGTATTTGTAGGAATTAAGTGCAACAGTGAATTGAATTAAAATTTAAGTTATGTTGTAGAGATTTTTAAAACTTTCAACAATTACGTCTTATCTTATTGTTCGGTCTATCTATCTTATAGGATATTTAATGAATATTATGTAATTGATTATAATGGTATTAAATAGAACTTAAACTAAAAATTCAATGGGAATTTCTCATATTCAAAATGTACAATGTGAAGGTAACTAACTCATGAACACTGTCTCGTGACATTACTGAAAACTATTCCCACTTCGGAAACATTGTTTTTTTTGTTTTTTTTACACAATTTTTATTTCAAATTATCCGGAAGAAAATCGGTAAAAAATCAATAGCTATTTTGAAAAAGTTAGGTGCTTAAAACATCATTAAGTCGAATTGAAATAGATTTCCGATTTTTGTCAATAAAGCAATTTTTCAGATTTTTACTTTAATTAAAATTCTTACTTTTTTAATCAATTTTAGAGCTTTTACGCGTTATCGGTATCTTTTTAAATTACTTGATGCTTTTATTCTCTTCATATATACATAGAACCGATCATATTACGATAAGTTGGGGTAATTTTTCAGTTAATAAAATTAAATAAATTAAAAACAAAAAAAAAACAAAGGTTTTTACCTATGTACTCCATTCTATTTTATTTCATTATTAAATGTTTGTTTTTCCTTCAAATTTCAAAGGTCAAATCAATTTAATTAATAATTAATTTTTCATCCTATATGCGTATAGCTGTCGCCTACCTATATTTATTGAAGTAATTAGAATACCAAAATGAGTTGTTGCAATACTCTGCTACTGTCAGTAATTATTTATCTTATTGTATTGTCAATTTATAGTATCAGTATTTGCATATTTTATATGAGAAATTGATTGTAAAAATACCCAAACATTTATTTAGTTTTAATTATTTATTTTGAAATAATGTATTAAACAATGTGATGAACGGAACGCATCCTCTGACATTTTAAAAGCTGCAGGATAGGTATATGGAGGAAGTTTATGTTACTTTTCTCCTGACATTCCTAATGGATTCTCTTAACTATTTTTAGATGCTTAGTTTCATTTGAAATGTTCACTTTTCACTTGACGGATTCCATTTATCATTCTATTAAAATCTAAATTTGAAACTTTATAAATTTTATTTAATAATTTAAATAAATATAGTTATAGTAAAGTATAAATTTATTTTCAATGTTTCCCGAGAAAAAAAAATAATAACACTCGAATTTCTTATTTATGTCCTTGTATTTATTTTGTGTTGATATTACAATCCACTAAGGTAATTTTATGGACTATGTTAGATATTAAAGAAAAATGTTTAATGATTACATAAAATTAAACTAGTGAACTTCGCTTTTGGTAAGGATTATGTATTTTTTTCTTTCTCACTAATATCTTTCAACAGAAAACTAATTTTAGAAGAAGAATATTGTGATATAATTTAAAATAAGTAAATAACAAAAAAATATTTTCTAGTTAAATAATAAACAGAGATTGTGACCTTAAATGCGTTATTCGGCAGTGGCCCCGCGACCTTTTGTAGTATGTATACGAGTTCTGGCAATGGCCAGATTCTTCACTCAAGACATGGGTGTATGTGGCTAAAGTACTCTTCCCAATCTCTATTGGCTTTAGCACCAGTGAAGCGGTTGAGAGAGTAGCGCAGGGATCTCCTGTAGTCCTGCTTTTCCCTCTTTAGTTGGAGGAACAAGCCTGGCTTGGAGTTCTGTCACCTAAGTGTAAATAGTGTGTATAGTTTATTAAATTTAAATCTACTTTTTATACATAATATGTGAAAAAAATATTATAAACAGATAAGTATGTAGTTTTTTTTTTAACTGAGCTTCAAACAAATGAAATAAAATACGTAACCTTATGTATGTCTGTGTTTTGTTTTTTTAAATTTACTTATTTTTTTTCTGTTTTTTAAAATATTTTCTGTACATATAGTGTGAATGCGGTCTTAGCTCACTATAATATATGTGACATAATATTATAATGCACAATAAATAAATAACAAACAAAAAATGCGTAATCGATTATAGCAATTTAGATTATAGCAATATCTCAAAAAAGGTATTGGACAATGAAGGTAATACAATCATTTTTATCACCCTCTAGCTATAATAAAATCCTAAGTAATAAAATAGAAAAGATTCTCATGAATAGTCACAAGAAGCTCATAAATATTTTCTTATCCAAAATTAAAACAATTTTAACTTATTATAATGATATTTTTTGATTCTAATTGAATTAATTGTTATTAACAGTTATTATAAAATTAATGTATTAAATTTTAATTGAAATGGGTTTTAGTCAAGCTTATAGTTGCACTTAATTGTCATAAAAAATGCTCATTGGATAACTGTTATTCTCATAAAAGATTTATCTTATTTGGTTTAAACTAAATTTATTTCTTGCAAAGAAAAATCAATAAGTTCAGTTGGATTTTGTTCCTTTGTTTTTTTTTCTTCTGCTATTTGTTCTAATTTATATATTCCCATTACCAGCGCCTTAGAAATGTTGTTGGTAGGAGTTGTGTGTGAGTAAAAATCTGGTCTTTCCTAAAGTAATTCAGGTGCATGAACAAATAATAGATGATGAATATTCAGGACGCAATAATTATAAAGTTTTTATTGGTGCCGACGTTTCAACTCAAACATGTGGGTCATCATCAGGGCGTGTTTCGAGCACTGAAGGTATTCAAGTACTGCTGCGGAGAGTATATATGTACAGAAAATCTTTTTGAAAAACAAAAAAAAAACAACTAAATAATAATAAAAAAAAAATATATACTATAAATAAAAATAAAATAACTCAAAAATAAGTAAATTTAAAAAAAAATACTGACATGCCCATGTACACTATTTACACTCGTGCTATTTAGAACATTCGACGACCTTCCTTCAATAAAGAGATAATGTTTGATTACTCCTAAAAGTAAGTTTTTTTTTTTTTAGTCTGTTCTGTATATGGGATACCTGACTTGGTAAATTGAAAATGGAAATGCACTGTTATTGTCTTTCTAATAAATCCCATCAAATCACCTTTACCCTTCGACGTAAACCTATGACCTCATGTCCCACAGTATCCTTTAATAATACCCCACTTATCCCTGTTGAACAAATCCGATACCTTGGACTTCACTTGGACAAACGTCTAACTAGGAATCCTCATACCAGACTGAAACGACAAGGAACCGCTCGACGTTTCCGACTACTCCAACACTTACTAGACAAACGCTCTAAGCTTCCAGTTAATTATAAAATACTTATATACATGACTACAATAAGACCTATTTGGACTTACGGAGTTGAGCTTTGGGGCTCCACTAAGCCATCGAATTCCTCTCGTATCCAATCCTTACAATCCAAAATCCTTCGGAAAACCCTCAATGCTCCTTACTTTGTCACCAATAAAATAATCCATAATGACCTTAATGTTCCTTATGTTTCCGATTTGGCCCAATCCAGATACCAATCCTTCTATAATAAACTTCAGAACCATCCGAATCCTCTCGTCTCTAACCTTGCTTCCTCTTCTATTCCTGATAACCCTCCGAGGCGTCTGAAAAGAAGATGGCCTCGAGATCTCTTATTGTAAGTACATTTTGTGTTTAGAGTGCTACCAGTGGGTAGTTTCTCAACAAGTCATTTCATGTTATTATTTTCTGTTATCAAATTTTGCTTAATGTATTTAATTTTTTCAATACAGTTGTAAATATTATGAATAAATAAAAAATAAAAAAAACAAAAAACAAAAATTCATGTCTAGTCATTCATTATATCATGTGAATACGACCTCATAACTCAATAAGAAGAACTGTTAAAGAAGTATAATATTTAGTGAATAGGTTTGAAAATGATAGGATGTTAAAACTACAGCTGAGGTAAGTGATGGAAGAAAGCTTTTTTTACTGACCAAATGTTTATTTAAGATGTTTACTAAACATTCTCTTCGTGTTTTCCCTACGTCATGTTGATCAACATATTGGAAAATACAATCGTGTATCATTTGCTTGTAAAAATATTTTAACATCACCGTAGCAGAAGGACTTTCTTGGTTACGTATTTTATCTCATTTTTTTTAAGGCGCAGTTAAAAAAAAATTCCTACTTATTTGTTTATAATATTTTTTTCACATATTATGTTTAAAAAGTAGATTTCAATTTAATTTAGTCCATATTTGAAATAAAATGGAAGTATGTAGCCATTTGTTGTACCGGCATTGAACCTTCCGTCGTTTTCCGTGTTTTAGTTCGAGATGGGGTTTACAGGCGTATCTAAAAAAGTTAAAAGATACTGCGACGCCTAAAATTAGGTTTCAGGGCCAAAAAACCTAATTTTACTATTTATATTTCAATAATTTCAATTCAAAGTAAATAATTGTATAGGTAAATACACACACCACGCATACTAATCTCTTGACAGAAGTATGCACTTATCGATACCATTATGTTTTGCCTGGGCAACTTTGAAGTAAAGCTTTAAAATTAGATAACTGTCGAGGAGAAATTTACAATAGAAATCGAAAGATCCAAATAAATAAAATGGCTTATTTGTAAAATATTGGAAAGATTAATGTTTTACAAATCAGCAGATTCAAGAATTCAGATTGAGTAACGAGTAGTTCATACCATTTTACACTACAAGATTGTTCTCTTCATTAAACCGATGTTTAGTTTAAAATGTTTAATTTTTTCTCTGGAAGTCGCGAATCACGGTTCTTTCCATCTAGAGTAAGAATTTATCCATGCCGTTTAGCATTTTTCAACGTACTTACTGTTGAACTTTGACAGAACCGTTTTCAGCCTTCCTTTTGCGTGTTTCAGGATAGTTTCGATCACATCAACTAAGGATTGAACCTTGCCGCTTATGTAATTTTTACCGTAATCTTCAGGTTCTTATCTATCAACATTTTTAATACATGCCCTGAGATTTTCTTGTATGAGGTTCGCTCTGCGGAGTAGGCAGCTACTTTTAGCCTCCTCAGGCACATTTGAACCATCATCGTGAGAGCCCTTTTGGCTTTAGGTCTTGAAGCCCTTGGGAGCCCATCTTCTCCATATTTCGCCTCAATTTCCTCAAAATCCGTGCTCTTTCTTTCTTCAAGTCTTTCTCTCACAGGCATAAAAGTGTTACAACTTAACCCTCCCTGTCCAATTATTCTATTATCACTATTTACACAAAATAGTAATAATCATCAAAGAGGAGTTGGTTGGGATTAGCTGTCGCAAATAAAAAAATTGAAAATAAAAACCAAGGTTCACGCTTTCATCAGAGCTCAGATGAAAGCCTTAGGCCGAAACGTCGGTAAAAATAAATATAATTTATTTTTACTTGTGACTGCTTACACCAATCAACCCCAATTCATTACATTCACGACAGTCAGCTATTAATCTACTATTAGTAATAATTAAAAATTAAATTATATCCAACGTTGCATAAGAACAACAAAAAATTAAAACTAAAATAAATCACAAAACACAATATAGCCGTAACCATCATCAAGCAAACTGATGTGAACAGCCAACCGAATCCCAATAAAAATATTTTCTCCAAGGTAGAGGTTTCGGTTGATATCATTGTTGAATGCGTAAACTATTCCGTTATTCAATGCCATTGGTCCAAACTCTCTCGTATAATCCAAGTTGTGTTTTACGTTATGGTTCTGAATTACTTTAGAATTTTTAATTTCCTGTTAAAATGTGTAAGAGGTCGTAATGTAATGTACTCTTTATGTGTTTGAGATTAATACATTAGGGGGTTGCTTTGTAACTAAACGGTAATGAGACATTTATCGAGCCCGCGCAGCAAAGTTTAGCTTAAAGGCATTACAAAGGAATTCCGCTCTTAGATGAAAGAACTTTGATGTTGTGACCTTTAACTCCAACATTTATACTTGACTCTGTTTGTAGAAATGTTCCCAATTAAAAAAAAAATCAAGGAATATCTGATCAAGGGTACAGTATACAAGGTCTTGAATGGAGGCAATAAAGATATTACTCGTCAATATATTCAGTATTTATCAGTACTGGAGCTGGAGTGGAGTAGCTAACTGAGTAAGGTGCCCCGCTCTCCAGTTCCAAGTTAGATTCCAGCTGTGGTAGATAATTATTATCCTTTGACATCAACTATGACTCAACCCTGGGGTCGGAAATACTTAATTGTCAAATGCTGAATCCAATTAGGGAATGAACTCGGATTGGATCCCGGGTGTTCTTTCCAAGAGTTCGAATTGAGTTCCGCAATCCCTCTATTACCTGCAGGGCAAAACCTCAGATTTGAATATTGACTAAACTATGTTCTGTTTTATTCTTCTGTTTAACAATGCCATCCTATTTTTTTAACTAGATATTCATTACTAATTTTGATCAAAAATATATCTTGGTCATCCAAGAATAAGTTATTCAAAATTATAAAAAAATCATATTTTATATAAACAGTTCTTCTTTCCATTTAATAGTCGGAGATATTTTATATATTTTAAACTGACAATCACTAAATCTTTCATTTATAGTTAAAATTCACCAAAAAGACTTATTGAATTTTGCTCAACAAGCCTTCCGTATAACACTGAATACCTTGAGTTTTTTTTTCTGAGACCCAACGCGAGTTTTCCATTTTACGGTAAATGTTTAACTTTCATTTATTTAATTCATTTTTTAAAAAATACGTTGAATGGAAATGAACTGTAGTTGGGCTTAGGTTACAGTCATAATATGACTTTCTATGTAACCAACAAAACTCTACACCATTACCTTAATATCCCATTTGTCTTAGACCTTACCCCAGAAAAATTCTACACATTTAACCAGAACCTTACTTATCATCCAAATTCCTTTGTACAATCCCTATCCAGCCCAACACATCCCTACAATCCTCCTCGAAGGTTGAAACGGCAGTGGCCCAGAGAACTATTGTGAAGTTTTGGAATCGGCCAGATTCTTCACTCAAGACATGTATGTATGATTATAGCGCCTCTTATCAGCCTCTACTGGTCCTTAATACCAGTAATGCGGCTGAGTGAGAGGCGCTGGGATCTTCTAGAGTCCTGCCTTTCCTTCCACGAGTGGGAAGAAAGGTTTGGCTCGGAGATCTTGAGTGAATGATTTCTTATTTTATTTTTTTAGATATTGTGTAGAACCATGCGTGTATGTGGGTAGTTATTTTTATTAGTTTAGTTTCTTTTTGTTTATATACATCTACTTTTACTATTATTGTTTTTCTGTATTATTTATTGTTAATAGAGCGTGAATGTGCTCTCTGAACACTATTATAAGTGTCCTTATTTCTGACAGGTTGTAATATCTCTCAATAAATATGTTTAAAAAATATATATATGACTTAATGATTTACATATGATTCTAATGTATCTTTGTATTGCTAAGAAAGAAAGTAATTTTTTATATCGAATTTGAACTGAACTTTTAAAATAAGAATATTTTTGAATGTTGGTAGTGTCATTCCATATCGGGAAATTTATGGAGGAACGATAACAAATAACCTTTTTGAGTAAATAAATAAAACGTTTATTTTCATAATTAATATTTTTTTTATTAAAATGCGTTTAAGAGAGGGCTAGGGAATGGATGGGTGGTTATTGTTGTCTTGGACTAGTTGCCTACTTCTTCTGAACCTACCGCCTTGGATCTAATTAACTTGTCAAGTACAAGGATTCTATTCTTGAAATTTCAGGCTTGGATTGAAAACTTATATTTGTAAGTTGTTTATAAGGGAAAACTTTATCACAATTAAAATCCTAGTTAAAGAGCCTTGGGAAGGCGTCGTGTATGTGGAGTTATAACTTGTAGTTACTTCGGCGCTGTTGAAATTGGTAGTAGGTTGGTGTTGAGTTCCGGAAATTGATTAAAATTTTAAGTGACTTGTTTCAAACAGAAAACAAACTATTAATCTACAAGACCATACTGAAACCTATTTGGATCTACGGACTCGAATATCAAACGCATCCAATCCTTCCAGTCCAAAGTCCTTCGAACAATAGTCAATGCTCCATATTATGTCACGAACAAGACCCTACTCCATGACCTTAATATCCCATATGTCCTTGACATCATCCCATCCAGATTCTCCAACTTTCACCAGAACCTCATTCATCATCCCTATCCAGCTCCAAGCATCCATACCATCCCCCTCGAAGGTTGAAATGGCAGTGGCCTCGAGATCTCTTTTAAATATGCCTTTGGAGTCCTTGCAATGGCCAGCTTCTCCACTCATGTCCTGAGCATCTGTGGCTCTAGTGCCCTCTTTCAGTCTCCACTGGCTTCTAATACTAGTGATGCGGCTGGAAAAGTGGCACTGGGATCTCCTGGAGTCTTGCTTTGCCTTCCACATGTGGGGCCTGGCTCGGAGATTCCTGGGTGAATGTATATATTGTATATATGTATGAATGTGTTTAGAAGTTTTTATTTTATTTGATTTGTTTATTTTTTATTTTTTCTTTACTTTTATTTATCAGTATTTTTTATTTACTTTTTATACTTATAGTTATTTCTCTATTATATGTATATATTGTATGAATGAGAACTTTTAGCCCTCCAACAATGACTGATTGTATTATTATTCAATAAATAAAGTTAAAATCTAAAAAAAGTGATTCGTTTGAATTATTTTAATGAGTATTATTAATAAATTCAATATTTCATCAATTAAAATTTTATTCTCCCTTAAAGGAATACCTTAGTCTTCTGACAAGTTATAGTGAAATGAACACACATGTTTAATTTGTGTTGAATTGTGTGTATGAAGTGTGTATGAATAAGTAAAGGTGTAAGTGTTAAAAAATATTGATACATTATATATATATATATATATATATATATATATATATATATATATATATATATATATATATATATACAGTATCAAAAGTTTTCAAATGTATAGAAATAGTAATTTGATGTTAAATTAAAAAAAATATTGCTTTAAATTAGGCAAATAAAAAAAATCAAATTTAAATTTGTTATTTATTAATCAAATATAAGATGTGGTGATTTCCACAACAAAAAAAAAAAAAAAAACCTGCTCTTTTTCAGGATTTAATTTTGATGATTTATTTATTAATGCGATTTAGTCATTATTAGATACCACAACAGTTGATTGATAGATAGATATATGTATATCTGCACCTATACGCAAAAGAAGAAAAAAATAATAAAAATGTATTATATTATACGTAAAAAAAAAAAAATACGAAAGAGCATTTAGCAGCTAAATTAATAGTTAATATAATTCTATTGTCATACGTTAGATATAAAAAAAAATTAAATATAGTATAAGACATTTCACTACGAACAAAATAAAATTCTCCTTTAATATTAACTTAATTATGTACATTAGTATTACAAACAATAAGATATATAAAAAAAGGCAAAATGATTAAAAGTATAACTTAAACTAAGTCCACTTACGCAGCAGCAGCTACAATCTCGATTTACTGGTGTTGTAAAACAATTCAGACATCCATCTCTCTTATCCGACGTCTAAATGGCGGAGAATGATCGTGAACGAGAGAATATCCAATATTATCCCTGGTAGACTGGGTCCAAAATACGAGATTATTCCCAGTACTAATAATAATTAAATATATCACTATAATTTTTCTCTTTTGTAAATAATTGGAGTATCAAATAAAAATGAATTATCACCAATACGACAGAAATCCTCTCCTTGGACTTCTCAAGCGATTTTGTTTGGTATTCCCAATCGCGTTACAGCATCACAAAGTAGGTACGCTATGCGAGAACGAAGACAAGTGACTCTTCACAGTCACCTGTTACATAAATAACCGTGACCATGGGTTGCCATGTTGCAGAGGTTAAGATGGGCGGGGCATGTCTGATTCCTGAGCAATCCATCAGGAAGCCTCTACACAACAATGCCAGAATGAAGCGGGATGCCAAAAACTAGATGGATTAATCGAATCATCTTTCCATTTATCTGCATCCAGATAAATCGAAAGAAATATTCAGAGATAGAGAAGGCTCGTAAAGGCGGACAAAAGATATGCAGAGCCAACAAAAAAAAAAGAATAAAATTGATAATAATGAAAATGTAAACAAGCGTGAATTATAATAATAATTCGTTATTGTATGTGTACATATATTAACA